TCTCTCTCTCTCTCTCTCTCTCTCTCTCTCTCTCTCTCTCTCTCTCTCTCTCTCTCTCTCTCTCTCTCTCTCTCTCCGCGCAAATGTGGCCAACCTTGCCTGCATCTCGTACTATCTTGCATATCTAACTTTTTTCCTTCTGTGGATGGTTTATGATGATTTGTGGATGGAGATAGAGAGAGAATTTGGGGTACTTAAAAACGACACACATGCACACACCCCTCCTGATGCGTTTGTGAAAGTCTGACGAAGCAGTCTGGCACAGTCTTTACTTTGTTTTGGACTTGTGTATAGTGAACATGACAACGCATACAAACACACTTCTCTTCGTCCGCCCCATCTATGTGCCACAAAAGCCTCCTCAAACCACCAGTACCTTCCTCAGGCGAACTCTAGAACCAAAATGGCGTCAATCCTGGTTCTTCGGATGAACAATGCTACCGGATCAAAATGGCTGGCGGCACCAGCCAAAAACGAAAAAAAGTGTGCTGCTGGCGGCTCGTTTTTCTTTGGCATGCAGCACAAATCCGCTTCAGGAACAAGAGGCTCAGAGGTACTGGTGGTCTGCATAACATCTAAATGGATTCTCTTTGTGACTTCGTCATGGTTGCCGACTGCCATGCAATAAGTTATTCGCTTCCCCCAAAAGTACCCCTATCCAGTGCGTTTGCTATTAGCCGAGTAGTACACTGCTTAAGAGGTTCATCATTGAGTCGTTGAGCATTCGTTCACTCTTGAGAAGAGTTGCTACGGGCCCTATGAAGGGTACGCCACTGGCACTCTTCTCGACACCCTTCCCCCTATCTTCTTCACCTGAAAAGAACGCCTGGCCATTATAGCTGTATTCAAGGCAACTTTCAGTCCAGATGCCACGATAATGACCGGCCATTCTATTTGGGTGAAGAAGGTAGGAACACCTGAGCAGTGAACACCTCAGACCCTTGATGGCTGTCATCAGGTGACTGCAGAGTTCGATGGGCTTGTGTTATGGTGAAGACGGCAGGAACACTGGGCAGACTACCTATCAAGACGGTTGGCAACGTGACTACTTTTTTTTTTTTTGGGGGGGTCTTGTTTTTATAGTGTTTGGGAAGCAGATGCACTCGTGTTAAGTTTTCACCCTTTTCGAGACATTTCATGCATTCATCAGTTTTGGCATGAGGAATATCTGCTTAGCATTTATTTTTTTTTGGTCTTGTTTTTATAGTGTGTGGGAAGCAGATGCACTCGTGTTAAGTTTTCACCCTTTTTGAGACATTTCATGCATTCATCAGTTTTGGCATGAGGAATATCTGCTTAGCATATTGCTGATAGTTTCGGTCAAAGACTCGAAATGTTTATTTTGCTAGAGCTTCGAGCTGTAAAAAGTGGAGCAATCACGTAATCTAAACAAATGGCTAAAATAAGAAGCGAACTACCATTTTTTTCTCTCAAACAGCCAATGGACTGGAAAAGTCAACAGTATTTGAGCTTTACATGGGAGGCCCGTCTGTACCAGCTTCTTCTACGTACGCCTAGAACATATGGCGATGTATGCGTTGTATGGTCATCATCGCTGTACAGCTATAATGACCGTACGGCGTACACTGTATTTGCGGGAAGACGGTAGCAACTGCAACATGCATTCAGAACATGATTCGGAGGGAGAGCGAAAAAAATGGAGGGAGGGAGTTAGGGAGAGAATTTTGCTAAGCCTGATGGCCTTCATTTGTCTGCCATGACCGCTGTTCTTTTTCCTTTTCCCTTTTTCTTTTTTTTAATAATCGTGCTATGCCGAGGCCCGAGGGACTTTCTATTTCTTTTTAATATTTTATCAGTAAAGAAAACAGTGGTGCGAGGATCTGGGTCCTCGGCAGGCCTAAGGGGCCCCTGTTACAGATGTGCCCGCCCTAAGTGAAGGCGGGCCTAACGAATCTCAAAGAGACCCATTTCTGCCAATTTCGTATTTGGGTCCAGGCAGTTGTGACGTGCCAGTTGGTTGAAGGGAGACACAGGCCAAGCAGCAAAGATATTCCACGGCCTTCCAGGCCTTTCGGGAAATGCAGGCCCAGGGCAAGAATCGCAGCCTCATACACAGACAGTTGGGAGGCCCAACCGAACGAGGCCTAGCAGCTACAACAGAGGCACAGCCTCCTGGGGCCTACCGGAAGCTTCTGGGCAGAGGCCCAGGCCAGTCAGGCCGGCGGGAGCTCACTGCCTGGGCTTTCATTCAGGCACTTGCCAGATGATGCGGCAGCGCTGCTGGAGCATTTGCTCGCGGGCTGCTGAGCGCTAAGGGCAAGGTGCTGCACGCGTGCGGTCGTGCAGGAAGCAGGGCGCTGCTAAGGGCAGCGCCATAGCCCAGCCTCCATAGCTGGATGGGGCTTGGACTACAGTGAGGGGCAGTGGTGGTCTTTGGGTGTACAGAGGGAAGACGTGGGTGTAAGTCGAGGGAGAGAGAGAAGGATGATGATGATGATGATGCGAGGGCGCATACCTGGTACTGGCGATGGTCTGCATTGGGCGACATCTTCAAGTACTTCGTGGGCTGCTGACGTCAACAGTTGCATTGTCAATTAGTAGACAGATTGTAGCTGTGTAGGAAGTAGGCTGGGCGCCGAGCGCCAAGTAGGGAGAAGGTCCTGGACTCTTGTGTTGGTGGTGGCAAGGGCAAGCTCTCATTGACATTGGTTTTCAGTATTATGATTCTCCATTGGTGTCATATTGGTGCAATGCTGCTTTCTGGAAATTGTGATACTTCTGGCTTTCAATGTGATTGTGCATTCTGGATATTGTCATCTCGCTTCTGCTCATTTCCCTTGAAGTAGGCTCGGCGCCGAGCACCAAGTAGGGAGAAGGTCCTGGACTCTTGTGTTGGTGGTGGCAAGAGCAAGCTCTCATTGACATTGGTTTTCAGTATTACGATTCTCCATTGGTGTGATATTGGTGCAATGCTGCTTTCTGGACATTGTGATACTTTCTGGCTTGCAATGTGATTGTGCATTCTGGATATTGTCATCTCGCTACTGCTCATTTTCCTTGCAGTGGGACAGGGTGAGGAAGAGGATAGGGGGGAGAGGAGAGAGTTGTGGAGTTTGTCATGTTGAGGTTTGCCCTGCATATGGGATTGTTCTCTGTGCTTACAGGTTATTCCATACATTGCAAGCCAGTTCCGGAAAGACAAGATATGGCTCCGCCGCACAAAGCCCAACAAGCGCCAGTACCAGGTAAGAGGAGTTTTATGGTCCACGTGCTCCATTCATGCATCACTGCTCACATGTTGCCTAAGCTAACGCATTCCGTTATGTTCTGGCTACCTCGGCAACCAAGCTCGTCTCTCTAGCCGCGCTCTGACTGGCGATAGAAATACTCCCATATGTGCTGCAGCTGCGAACGTCATTATAGCCATACCATGTGCACCCTCGTTGGTGAGGGCATATCACTTTTGTAATAGGCACAGATGGGGAGGCTATTTGCCCACAGGCCCCAAACCGTTGTCATCATTTCCATGTCATGCCCCAATCATCCTCGCTTTGTTCTAGTCTTCCTCCTTTTCTTCCTTCGCTATCACCTAACCTCCCACCCGGCTTCCCCTTTTCTACTCGTCCGTTCGCTTCCTCCTCCCTCTGTCCATTACTTTGTTTCCTTGCTCCTTCAATTCCTTCCTTTTTCCCCCTGTTCGCTCCCTTCGACCCTCCATCCATCCCTATTGCTCACCGTTTGTCACTTTCCTCTATCTTGCCTCTCTCCTTCCTCCCTCCCTTTCTTCCTCCAACCAATCCCTCCTCCCTCTCTACCGTCCTTCCTCCTGTATTCTGTCTCTCTGTCCTTAATCGCCGCCTCCTTGTTCCTGTATCCTTTCTCTCTTTTTGCCAACGGTGACGGCCTTGAGATATCTGTTTGGATTCAAACTCTAGTCTGTATTTTAACAGTTCATGGGTGTACCAACTACTTCGATCCGTTGTTTCTCTATATTTAATATTGATAGCATTTTTGCAAATTCATGGACTCTTCTCATCTTTGCTTCATCACTTCCCTCTCTCCTCCGTGACGCCTGTATGCCTTCCGCCCTCCCCCTCTCCGTCCCATCGTACCACTCCCAAGGATAGGGGGTTGATGGGATGCACTGCAGCCAGCCACTGCTGGACAAACGTACTCACCTTGACATTTTGGAGTGTGCCTCGCCTTTCCTCGTCTTCCCTTCCTTTCCCTTCCTTTCCCTTCCTCTCCTTTTCTAGTATCCTTTTCCCTTCCTCACCTTTTCTAGTATCCTTTTCCCTTCCTCACCTTTTCTAGTATCCTTTTCCCTTCCTCACCTTTTCTAGTATCCTCTTACCACCAGGTCTTTTTTACTAAGATCTGGAGGTTATTGTGGTCAGACTCATCCACCTCTGGACGGAATTGCGGTCAGATGCATTTAGGAAAGCATTAGTGTGAGCATGCGCGATGCACTGCAGACACTGCTGGATGAATGGACTCACCTTGACATTTTGGAGTGTGTGTTGCCTTGCCTTCTCTTCCCCTCCTTTCCCTTCCTGTTCTTTTTCTTATCCTCTTAAGGCATACTAGGACCTGGACTTTTTCTGTTGACCTCTGCCCTTCATTGCATTCAGGTTCATCCAGCTCTGGCCGGCATTGCGGTGAGATGCATTTAGGAAAGTATTAATGTGAGTATGCATGTAATCACTATTCTAGAATTTAAGAGTCTTCAGACTACGTCTGCCTAATTTTTCCGTGTTTCCCTTTTGACTCTTTGTGAACGAACACATAATCCAGCAACTCCAACCCCTCATTCTTTCCATGTGGTTTTTTGCCCCCAGCGGGTCCAGCCCTTAAAGAAGCCGAGCCGTTGCAGCGAACGATCTGCCTGAAGCTGCCAGCCTTCTCTCTCTACGAACTCTGAGCCCTTCTGCAGCACTGGTTTAACCAGCGAGTGTGCGCTGTTCATGGTTGATGGCCACATCTTCGACTTCCAGTCTTCTGCTTCACGTCTTTCCCTTTTCCTTTCTGATTGAATGCATGTGGGAGTCAGCGCCACGGAATGAAAATCTCCGAATATGGCATGGGGCAATGAAACGCTCCCCTCTGCTCATTAATTTATTCTGTTCTGTTTTTTTTCTGTCTTTGAAAGGGCAACAACATTGAGATCATCACTGAGCTGACCGGCTTCAGGCATTTCATATATAGTCTAACCTCTAGTGGAAACTAGAAATGATTGGCCTTGGAAAGGCCAATCAAACTCGGGAGATAGCCAGTTTTCCGCAAAACCTATTGAGGTAGAACCGTAGAACGTGTGATCTTCATTGCAAGAGGTAGAGCACTCCATGGGCTAGGGTGGCCCAAAGCTTGAACAACCCCAAGGAAACTCCGAATACTTTCAACAACTGAGCATTGCGCAGACAGATTTCATGAATTTCAGGTATTTCATTCATCTGGATGCAAAGTCGGGTCTGTGTTTCAAGAGTTCATGTGTGTACCAATTGGGTTAGTAGTAACTTAGTACCCAGATTCTATTTTTCAGACCGTTGATCCCTTGAATCTATGGTCTAGAAAAGAACGTGAGCACGAGCGATAAAAGAATGTGAGGATATCAACCTCACTTTTCTTTCCCCGAATGGAACGCATTGTCATTATTCCCGTATCTGTAAAGACTGAAAGTTGCCCCAAGTACAGCTATGATGACTTTGTGTGCCATTCGGAGGAAGGCGATAGTCTTTGGATGGTGGTTATTTCTTTCTTTGCTCTCTTGCTCCATCAATATTAGTTTTGCTAACTTTGCTTGCATTTTTGACTGCTTAGATCTTGTGTGGTTTTTAACTTTTTTCTTACTTTGCATGTTCAGGTGGTTCTTGCGATCGATGACTCAAAAAGTATGAGTGAAAGCAGGTGTGGGCATCTTGCCCTGGAAGCGATGGCGACGATATGCAAGGCGATGTCCCATCTTGACATTGGGCAGATGGCAGTCGTTAACTTTGGCAGCAAAGGAAACGTCCATCTTCTCCACAGTTTTGATCAGTCATTTAGCGATGAAGCTGGTGTAAATGTGAGCCTTCCTCCTCCTCGTCCTCCTCCTCCTCCTCCTCCCTCCTCCTCCTATTTTTCTACTTCTCCTGCCTACTCTTCCTACTATCCTAAGGGCATACTCAAACTAGGACTTGCCTGGATGTATCTGGCCACATTTAGAGCCCGTTGGCATGGACGTGTCTGAACCCAATTACGGCCAGAGCTCGGTCGAAAAAGTCAACAGTGTGAGTATGGGGGGAAGGAGAAGAAAATTTTGCAAGATGTGTGAGGCATTAGCAGCTTGAACAAAAAACTTGAAAAAAGGGGGGGATTAAGAGATCAGGATTGGGAATGAATGGAGACAGAGGCTGTCGCCTGTTCTCATCCCCACTTCCCAGCCTTTTCGGTTTCTTTCTCCTCAGTGCATTTTCCTTTGGGGTTTTGAGAAATAAGATGCGACCATTGTTACAGCCAGGCTTAGTTGAATAATCCATGTGGGAGTATGTGCTGAAGGCTGAGGATGATCTCTCTCTCTCTCTCTCTCTCTCTCTCTCTCTCTCTCTCTCTCTCTCTCTCTCTCTCTCTCTCTC